CCTAAATGAATGGCCTCTTTTACAAAATACTTTCAAAACCACACCAAACACCATTTCAAACAAAACAAAGCAAGTGATCTAAGCAAGTAACTAAGAGCCCATGGAAAACCATGGATGAAAAGGGTGCTAGCACCTTCCCTTTTCATAATCTACCCCCCGAACTCAAGAAAACATCTCAAAGATATTTCCTGTGCTTTTTCACCTTTCCTTTTGGATAAAAAAAAGTCGGTGGTGACTCTTGTTAACCGCGACATTTGCGATAAAATGCAAAACCTCAAGTCAGTTATCCCACTGTATCACAGAACTGGCGACTCTGCTGGGGAGTTATTATAAAAGTGGGGTTACCTTAGGGTTTAGATCTCATTTATTTTCTTACCTTGTTTGACTTGTTTGCTTTACATTTTGGTTCTATTGTTTGGGTTTGAATCCTCCACCCGAATTTGGGAAACATTATAGGTAAATAGCAATACATTGTAGAAACTGTGCGGGGTATACCGACACGGTCTAAGCAATAGCTATGTTAGTGTGACATATTTGTGGGTACCGGTAGGCTTTGAGTCTATCAAAGAGAATACGGGGCCGCTGAGTGATGTCATGAAGCACTAATGAACTTCTAGAACCTTTTACTTGACCAACTTGGCCTTTTAGGATGTAGTGAGATGACCGCCTTTGGTGCAGTCCGAAGTTGGTAGATACTCGATACTAGACTCATTGAGGTTTGGTTTCTTGGAATATTTCGATCGCCATTAAAGAGGCTTGAGCTGAAACAATGACCAAGTAAACAATCCAGTGATATTGAGCTCCTTAGAACCCGGTTACTATTACTAGGATAGGTTGAGCCAACTAAACTTCAAGAGGGTACTTACCTATGAAACCCCATGCAAGCCTAAACTAGGAACTTGTTTGATTTGCTTGTACATATATACTTGTGTATAATATCATGGACATCATGAACATCATATGCATTCACTAACCATTTCAAGTATTTTGGAGATTCATCTTTGTTCTTGTTTTGTAGGTTATGGATTCACTTCGCAGGAAAACTATCCAAATCAACCTTGTAAGAATTCCTCCACAACTCAAGGAGCTAGCTTCAAGGATTCTTGAGAATTCTCCATTCACCGAGAGGCATGGTCGTCTACTCAACTTGGTTACCTCTAACACAGAGGAAGATATGATGAAGATTCTCTTCCAGTTCTTTGACCCGTTGCATCACTGTTTCACATTTCCTGACTACCAACTTGTGCCTACTTTAGAAGAATTCTCTCAACTTTTGAGGATTCCCATTCTCAATCAACTACCCTTCAATGGTACATAAAGAGATCCAAAGCCAAAAGAGATTGCTCAAGCCCTGCACTTGCACTCATCTGATGTCACAACTCATTGGGAAACTAGAAGTGGTGTCAAAGGCTTCTTAGAAAAGTTTCTGTTTGAGAAGGCCCAAAGTTGTTGGAACTCCTTGGACTTACAAGATTTTGAGGAGATTTTATCTCTTCTCATCTATGGGATGGTCTTGTTCCCTAATCCTGACTAACTCATAGATGTGAGTGTTGTCAAAATCTTCATGTCACGCAATCCGGTGCCTACATTACTTGGAGATATCTTACACTCTTTTCACACTCGTACAATGAGGAAAAGAGGTGTTCTTATGTGTTGCACTCCTCTCCTGGAAAGATGGTTTATTTCTCATCTTTCCCAATCAGTCTTAAAGAATGAACAAGGTTTGAGGTGGTCACAAAGGTTGATGACACTTAAACATTCAGATATTCATTGGTGTTCTCGATCCAAAGAGAATGTTATCATTGTTGACCGTTGTGGGGAATTCTCTAATGTCCCTCTACTTGGCATTAGGGGAGGCATCACCTACAACCCGTTCTTGTCTCTAAGACAGTTTGGTTATGCCCGAAGGGATGGCCCACATGATATGTTGATTCAAGGCTTGGTTTTCGACAATGACAACGATGATCAAGGACTTCGCCAAAGATTCACCCGAGCTTGGAGGATGCTAAACAAGGTGGATATCAATACTTTGGGACACAAGAATTCCATCCCTCTTGAGCCTTACCTCAAGTGGGTACGAACCCGCGCTCAAAGTCTTATGATGCCGTATCCTTCCATTCTCCCAGTGATTATTGAGCCTGTTAAGGAGGGAGAAGTTCCATACACTATCCTACATCCTGACATGCCTACATCACTCGAAGACCTACAAAGGGATTGGATACAACTTAAAGGAGAGCGTGATACTTTCGAAGCCCAATTCTAAGCAAGCGAGAAGCAGGTTTTGGAACTCACTCGGCTACTTCATGAAGAGTAGACTCTCAATACCTACATTGCACCAAATAGGATGCGCAATGTCTTTTTATCTTAGAATTTTGTATTATTTTTCCCTAGGGGAATTGATGTACCCAAATTCTATCTTATTAATATAACGCGTGTTTCTTTTTGTTTGAAACAAATTTGAATTCTTTAAATCCTTGAAAGCATTGCATGAATACATATCATTCATCATAAACATAAGCAGGTCTTTGCAACAAGTTTCCTCATCCCTCTACTGTTTATTTCAGCAAGATGGATCTCGAACAGACGATTAAAGACCTCCAAGCTCAAAATACACAATTTCAACAGTTACTCATGACCTTAGCCAAGGGGCAAGAGGAGCTGAAGACTCTGCTAGAAAAAGAGAAAGAGAAAAAGAAGAAGAAGCCAACTGGTGTGGTAATCATGGGCAGAAGGTTCCAGGGACAAGCCAGAAGGACCTTAGAATTTCCAACAACATCTGATGAAGGGGAAAGAAAAGGAAAAGAAATGGCAGTACCATCAGATTCTGAAGAAGAAGAGGAAGAGGAGGACTACTCTGAACAACAATACCCTCCGGTTGATAACAAGTACAAACACCTAGAAGAGCGTCTAACCGCTATGGAAATACAGAGAGTATCGGGTCTGGATTTTGAAGAGTTAGGGCTTGTGTCAGGAATTGTAATCCCGCCAAAGTTTAAAGTGCCATTATTTGCCAAGTATGATGGGGTGTCTAGTCCTAAAATGCACCCCCGATCATATGTCAGGAAGATTCAGCCGCACTCTGCCGACAAAGACTTATGGGTCCACTTTTTCCAAGACAGTTTATCAGGAATGCAACTTGATTGGTTCTACCAGTTGGAAAGGCCCGACGTCCATAATTGGGAAGACCCGGCCGCAGCTTTCTATAAATAATAACAATACAACACCGATTTGGGGCCTACCCGTACTCAACTTTAGAGTATGGCTATGGTTTCAAATGAGGGCTTCAAAGATTACGCACAAAAGTGGAGAGAATTAGCCGGAAGGGTGCAACCCCCTCTGTCTGAAAGAGAGTTGGTGGACATGTTCTTGGGAACTCTATCAGGCCCTTTCTTCAATCATCTGATTGGGAGCTCCTCTGCAAGGTTTACTGAATTGATTTTAACCGGCGAGAGGGTGGAAGCTGGTAAAAGAAGTGGGAAGATTCAAAAAGACGCGTCCGCCTCTACAACTGTGAAAAAGCCCTTCACAGGGAAGAAGGAAGTATCTGTTGTTTATTCACACGGAAATCAAGGAAGAGCTGAACGCCGACCAACGGTAGGGGCCGTTATGATTCCAAAGCCTGCACCAGACCAGCCAAGAAATAACCAGCCAAGGGTAGAAAGGTCAGTCCGACAATTCACCAAGATTAACATGACTCCAGCCCAGGTTCTACCACATCTTCTGCAATTGAATCTGGAAACTTTAAAAGAGGCCCCAAAGAATCCCAATACTGCGTCTCCTTACTACCATCCAAATTCCATATGCGCATACCATTCTGAAAGTCCAGGGCACGACACCAACAACTGTTGGGCTCTGAAGAACAAAATTCAAGACCTGATAGACGCGAAGGAAGTTGAGTTTGAGGCGCCTAAGAAACTGAATGTTATTTCTGCTCTAATGCCTAGGCATGGTCACAACGCCAATGTTATTGAGGAAGATTTGTTTGTTGCCACAGTGGATGAACTGTTGACTCTGCTCCCAATTATTAAGTTGAATTTGTTGAAAGCTGGTATATTCCCAGGTTGTGACAAAGACTGCCATGTTTGCCTATCCTCAATCATTTGACTGCCCTCTGTTAAAAAAAGGTATCCAACGACTGATTGATAACCGAGAAATTTTGTTTGAGAATACTCCTGTTTCACCCGTTCCAGTTAAAGAAGTTTCTATCATAACCATCTACGCCAATCCTTCCAGGGTCCCTAAAAGACCCGTTAGGATTACACCTGCTCCAAAGACTACTCCACTTAAGATTACAATGCCCGGGCCGGTCCCGTACAAATCAGATAAAACAGTACCATCACTACGCCAAAAATAAGTTTTAGCAGCACATAAAAGAAAGCGCTTTTGGAAAAAAGCGCTGCTGTAGGTTTTAAAAAAAATTCGCTTAAAAAAGAGCTTTCAAAGGGTGCCTTAAGAAAGAGCTTTTCAAAAGCGCTTCTAAAGGTCACCCTTAGAAAGCGATTTTTGGGAAGCGCTGCTAAAGCTGGACTTTCAGAGGGTACCTTAAGAAATCGCTTTTCAAAAGCGCTGCTAAAGGTCAGCCTTAGAAAGCGCTTTTCCAAAGCACTGCTAAAGCTGACCTTTAGAAAGCGCTTTTAAAAGCGCTTCTATAGGATATGCTACGAAAGCGCTTTTTGATGTAAAAGCGCTGTTATAGATGACCTTTAGAAAGCGCTTTTAAAAGCGTTTTCGTAGGTAGTTTTATAATAAATATCAAAACACAATTCGTATCACTTTTCTATTCTCAGTAGATTTTCTTCACGAAAAAACCCTAAACCAGAGCTTCTACGGTGGTCAACGGTGCTCCACTTCTCTGGCCTAAACCTGATTCATTTGCATGTTTATTTATTTCGTTGTTATGTTCTTCATACATCTTGTTCTTACTTAGATTTTTGTTCTCTTTTTCCGATCTACTATATTTGTGCTTTTGAGTATGAGTTTCCACCTTATCTTCATATCTATTACCTTATTTGGTTCCCTGTTGGTTGATCCTCAGAATCATCAGTGCATTTTCCAGACCACTTGTGCTCTTCAGCTTTTGCTTTTGCTTTGCCATTCTTCCCCGTCTTCCCTGTAAGATCCTTAATATCTGCTTTTTCATGTTTATTGTTTACCTTATTTTGACCTTCCTTCAATTTATTCTGACTAACGACATTGTTTTCATTGCATATACCACTACTTCTAGTTTTCTGATTACAAAGAGTATGAGTGGTTGCTTGACTTGGCTTAGCTTCGTTGACTAGCTGATTCTCGCTCAGGTAATATCCATTATTACTTATGTTGTTGCCACTTTGGTTATTTTTTTTGTTGTTGTTGTTGTACCCTTCTTTCACTTTATCATTCCTACTATAATTGTTGTTTTCCTTAATTATAATGCCCTTGTTTTTGTGTTTGTTTTCTCTCCATGTGTGTTCAAGAGTCTTTTTATATTTTCCTATGGCTTCCTTATCTTGGTTCCCCTTTGAACTTTCACCAATGTACCATCTTGTACTAGACTTTGTATCCTTCAATTGGTCTTGCTTTTTATGCATTTTTCTCCTCGACTGATTGTTGCTCTTTGTGCTCGGGTAATCTTTCATGATTCCTTTCCCTTTGATATTGTTGTTTTAATTGTTGGTGCTCTATTGATTCGTGTTCTTATTTTCCTTAACATGGTCATCACCTTTGTTCTTCATATTGCACTCCTTCCGTTGCTCTGCTCCGACAGAATATTTATGCACTCCTGATGTTGCTCCTTGAGGTTAGTTTGATCCATTTCTCAATTTTTGTTTTCAGTAGGATTGCTAGTGTCAAATTCTCTAGAATTATAAGTTACTCCTATTTGTTGGGATAGTAGTTGTAGTGATCTTTGATCCACTTATGTTTATGTCTGTGTAAGAAGCAGTAGTAGTGTTCATGTTATATATTGTCCGCGTTGTTAAGAGACGAGTAGAACATATTCCTACCAAGAAAAGAAAGAGACCTTAGTGAAAAAGGTAATAGTATATATAATTATAGCCTATATCATTCAATAAAATTTAATTTGTCATTTCATTTTTATTTGTCATTTCATTTTTATTTGTCATTTCATTTTTATATTTGTCATTTCATTTTTATTTTTTTTCATTATTACAGGTCAAATGGCTAGTAATCAAGAAAACTCACAAGATGCAAATGCTCCTGAAAATGCTCCATAAAATACTTCAGAAAAGACTTCAGAAAAAGATATTACACGAGGTATAACTATTATGAGGGGAATCATCCGTGATAGAGATAAAGGAGTAACATATAATGTAGATTGGAATGATAATGACCAACTAATTGGGTCTAATTCTGCAAAGTTGACAAGCTACATTGGTATGCTTGTTCGTATACACATTTTGATCACCACTCCTAGATGGAAAAGAGGAGAATTGGATGAGGGTAAAGAGAAAGTTTGGACTGAGATAAAGGTACATATATGGTTTTTGTTATTTGCTTTATCTTGACGATAATATGTGTTTAAATTGCTTTTACTAACACACTTTATGCGTATGTTTTTTTGTAGAGGTCTTTTAACATTGAAGATACTCGTAAAAAGTATATAATGGGTTTGGCTGGAAAAAGACACAGAGGGTGGAAAACATTTTTAACAAACAAGTATCTTAAAGATGATGAAGGAAATTTTCTTGAAGAGGATCCGGAACGTCCAAAGAAATATGAGAACTTCATTACACCTGAAGAATGGGTTGGTTTTGTAGGCCAAAGAAGAGACGAGAATTTCAAGAAAGTGAGTGCCATCAATCGCGAGAGAGCGTCAAAACTCGCATATCCATACAAAAAAGGGCGTTTGGGATATGCTCACTTAGAGGAAAAAATTGTAAGTAAATATAAACTCTACGATCTTAATGTGTTATAATTGATGATCTTAATACTTGTGTCAATGCGTAGCTAGAAGAGACGAAAAGTGACGCAACATCACTACCAGCACATTTGTTGTGGAAGGAAGCTCGTATGGGCAAGGATCAAGTTGTTAATCTCGATCTTCAACATGTGTATGATGAATGTGTAAGTATAAGATTGTGTCTTTAATTAAATCAAATGTTTATTAATATTTAAATAATTTTTTATCTCCACTAATAATTTCCGATATGTAAATGAATTACAGGAGACCTTGTCGCAATCGGTATCCCCAGGTGAGGATCAGGATACCAGGAGCGTACTTAGTCGAGCACTAAATATTGCTGAGTATCCGGGTCGGGTGAGGGGTAAAGTTCATGGTGTGACTCCAACCTCTTTGTATAAGCATCCAAGGAGAAGAAATCCTAGCAATGCAGAAGTGATGCAAACATTGCAGGATTTACAAGCTCAAGTCCGTGAATTGCAGAAGGATAAAGAGAGATATATGGCGGAAAATAGCAGTTCACAATTGAAAGAAACTAGTGACAAAGCTAGTATCAACTGTCAGCATAAATTTCCCGAGGTAATTTTCAATATATATCCGTTATTATTATAGAATATTTTTAGTCACTTCTAACGGTTATTATTGGTTTAGGGCATTTCATCTTGCCAGCTATACCTATCGTCGCCGACTTATCGACTAGTTGGCAAGGGAAAAGTCCATAACACTTTGGGAGATTTACTTCACCATAGACCGCTTCCGGATGAACACATGAAAGTATCGGTTGATATTGCTTTAGATATGGATGCGTTGCTGCTGGTACCTGACATTGTTGCTGAGACCACATTGCTGCGAGATGCAATAGGATCTTTTGTTGCATGGCCATCGGACCTCATTTTCATAGATGATCAGGTATGTTGAAAACCATTATGAATCTTTAAGTCTTCAACTGTCAGTTCTGACCTCAGTTATTTCCATAGTAATTATAGACTCATACAAAACCCGCATCGAAGGGTAAAGGGATTTTGCGGCACGACGAGTCTGATGTATCACAAAAAGTGGTACGTTTAAAGTGTTAATTATATGATCCGGATAAAAAACTGCATAATTTTATAATTTAACTGAGTCTATATGATTTTTAGGTACCTTTTCAAGGGTCACAACAAGTGAGCCAGAAAATTGTTGGTGTACCACCCAAGAAAAGGGTTCCTACTAGATTTTTCCCTCGATACCAGCAGTGTCTTGAAACAATAGTGGGAAAAACATATTTGATGGATGGTGGTATTCGACAAATGGATATGGATCAAGGTATCTTTGGTTTTCCTTGCACCGAAATAATTGGACATGAGGACGTGGAAGAGATTTTCCGTCATAAAGAATTAGGCGTCAGTATTATGCACGCATACATCCGGTAACCCCATCTTTATATTATGTAATTAGCTGAAAATTTTTTTAAAACATTTCAATGAATATAGTCTAATATTAATTATGTTTTTATTTAAGGTTGTTATATGACAAATTGATGCGCGGGAATCAATTGTGAAATAGATTCCATTTCGTGTCTTCCTCTCGTGTCAGCGGAGCGACAATTGGTAGGGAACCGAATTCAGTAAGAGAGCACTTAGTCGAAAGATTCATGGCAACTGGCAGTACAGAAGCTTATATCTTTGGGCGTATAATACTATTCCTACAGGGTTAGATTTTCATTCTAAGTTCATTTTAATATTTGTAATTTTTGCGTAGAAAATTTTCTTCTAAACTGTTGTTTTAATTTATAGACGTCACTGGTTGTTGGTTGCTATCAATCCTATAAAAGAAGTGGTCTATTATCTGAATTCGGTTGACGGTGATTGGACAAATTATCCGGATATGAAGTTAATGATTGATGCGTAAGTGAGATTATTCTAAATATTTGTGTGTATTTATATATTTAATTATTTCTGTGACATTGTTCTAAATATATATTTTTATTTTGTTAGAGTGATACAAGTATTCCGGTGTCAAAGAGAAGCTCGGGTACGACAGTCTAAATCAAACAACATTAATTGGATCAAAGTGCAGGTATATTAATTTCCACTATTTTGCTTATAACATTTATTCTATTTGATAAAACAATACAACTATATATTCTTATTTGTTTTTCTATGTAGTGTCCTCAACAACAAAACGATATAGATTGCGGATACTTCGTTATGCGGTTTATCAAAGAAATCCATCAACTGAATCAAATAGAGATTCCAGTTACGGTATGGATTTATAACTTAGGATTTGTTTTATTATTTCTCGGATATTTCATATAATTTTTTACTTTTAACTAAATCATGCATATTATATTTTGTTATGTAGTACTTCGATGAATACAAATGTGCATATTACTCGAAACTTCGGTTGGAAGAAATCAAAGAGGAATTGTGTCAATATTTTATTGGGCAGAGAATCATATAAGGTATGAATACATTATTATGTGAAAAGTGTTATGAATACGTTACATGTGTACATGGAATACCATATTGACCGTGTTATTATGTTCAAACCTCGCAGGACCAGGACCTTAATACATAATTGACCGTGTTTCTTTCATACATTAGGATTGGTTTAGTTATTGTTAGGGTTGATTTTGTAAGACTGATTTTGAGTTACAATGCTGATAACAATGGTTTTTATATATTTTGAGGTACAAAAATGGTGTATATATATTTTGGATTACAATGGTATACAATGCATTACCGCGGTTTATGAATTACAGGTTATGGCAACTGGTTTATGTAAATAACATGCTGCAAACAATGCAGGTATATGAATTATATAAATTATACCTCTAAAAAAAACACCCTATGAAAGCGCTTTTTCAAGAAAAATGCTGCCTTAGGTAACCTATGAAAGCGCTTTTTCACAAAAAGCGCTGTCTAAGGTAAACATATGACAGCGTTTTTCCAAGAAAAAGCGCTGCTAAAAGACCACCTATGAAAGCGCTTTTCCAGAAAAAAGCGTTGCTAAAAGCCTACCTAAGACAGCGCTTTTCCAGAAAAAAGCACTGCTAAAAGAAAACTTATGAGAGCGCTTTTCTAGAAAAAAGCGCTGCCTTAGGTAGGCCTATGAAAGCGCTTCTTCATAAAAAAGCGCTGCCAAAAGCCTACTTAAGAGAGCGCTTTTTAGAAAAAGTGTTGTATTAGGTAGACCTACGAAAGCACTTTTCATTAAACAAAAAGTGTTGCTAAAACCTATAGCAGCGCCACCTAAAAAAGCGCTTTTAAAGGCCAAAAAAGTGCTTTCGTAAGTCTTAATACTTGTGTCAATGCGTAGCTAGAAGAGACGAAAAGTGAAAATGACAAGACAAATCAAAAGCATGAAAATGACACACTTTGCACACAAGCACCCTTAGGGTTTCTCCCACTTGGTTGCCTAAAATAAAATGGCCATGTTACGCATGCGAGGTATCTTGGCAAAACAAAACAAATATAAGATCATAGCCCCTCGATGATGCTATTCAAAGGTTGCCTAAACAAAATGATCTTGGTCCCTCAAAAATGCTAAGATACTTGGCAATATTGCTATCATGGTTATACGATGACCCACGCCCGTCCCGTTAACATCCAAAGATAAGGTTGCTTACCAAATCAATGGTAAGTCAACAATGTCAAAGGAATAGAAAATGCACAAGAAAGACATTTGAGTAGGTAGATAGCTTCTAAGTTACTTGCTCTTTTTCAAACAATCCTT